AGCGACTGTGAGCAAAGAGCGTGGGCTGCTCAGAGATGGGTGGCAATTGCCAGGCATTCCCCCCATGCCCACCGACTTCTCATTCCTCACACAGTAAAAAATGAGGGAGTACTCTTTCTCACACCATTACTTATCAACCCAAACACTTTTACTGCACAAAAAGTTACATACACAATGTCCTTGTCTGTCCAGGAGAAGCCCTGGTGTGTAAAGACTCTTTAAGGAGATCTGATTTTCTTCCAGAGTGAATGTTAGAATAAATGGGGTAGCCTAAGTGCAACTGGGCTCTTCATGCTGTGTGTCTGGGCACCTGACATGAGAACACATTGTAGGAGCTGAGCTCTTGCTAGGGGACTCGTGGGTCAGTCACCTTGGTCCCCTAATGACCCTATGCACACTAAAAGGTCATTTTCCTTCGGTATTGACAGAGTTTCATCATTTTATGCCATCAGGAAACTTGGTCCAGTACAGTCACGTAAAATATGGTGATGTCACATAGTATTGTATCACACATTCTTTACTAAAATGTCTTTATAACTCAGGCTCAGTAAAACTTTCCTAAAGCCACTTCCATCTAGTGCCCCAGAGCAGAATATTGTGTGAAAAACTCATATTTTCTGTTGGCAAGTGTGAAGAGAATGATATCTAGAAATCTGGGCTACTTTTTGTAACCACTGAAGTGTTTACATAGACAATGGCAAGGTATTTGGATGAGCACTCTTTAACCAATATCCAGCTCAGCATTATGCTAATTTAACATTAGGAGGCTTTTGCTTCATAATTATGACTCGGCATCAGTTGCTGTGAAGCTGGAGTATTCATCTTAGGTTAGTAGTATTTTACACTGCATTTAGGTAGTACACTATAAAATAGTGACACTCCTGAAGTGCACATCACACTTTTTTTTCAAATATATCTTGCAGTTTACACCTAAAAAAATAATCTGCTGCTGAGCTCCTCTCCAAAATTTGCCAGAGGCTTAAACTCAGACTGACAACTGGCAGGCTTTTTTGTATAAAGTTCATGTATTTATAATGAGACTGATCTTCAGTGGAGCTGAGATATATAGAGAGAAAATATAGACTTGCATTTGTACGTCTATGATGCAAAATATATTGGAATCAGAGTTATTGCAGAAATTTGCTTTTCAATTTAGGAATTTTAGAATGAAGAGAATTGGGGAAATTTTGGGACAATAATTGTCTCCTCTCAAATAGTCATACAACACTTTGCAGATTGAATTCTCCAGTTTGTACAGTCTAAAGGCAAGTGTAGAAGTAACAGAAAAAAGAAGTGGCATTTTTGCAAGGGCAGTTCCAACTGGAGTAGGTGAGTATGTCTTTGCAGGAATGATGGTAACAGCTTCCAGTCAGAATTAGGATTACCCTAGTTTAGATCTAGTGTGACCTTCAGATTGTGGAGAACACTGTACCGCTGTTTTTAAAAGGGATGGAAAATAGGGGACAGTCCACATTATGACTCAGCTGCTTTAAGAAAGAAGTAATTAAAGAAAAATCATTAGCATATTGGGAATGGGAGTCAGGTGCTACAGTCACATGAGCCTCAATTGACCATTACTGAGGAGTGGCCAGAGCATAAAAGGATCCTCTATTGCAACCAGCATGGTTTTGTGTGTGAGGAACATGAGGGTGTCTTGACTGGGGCTCCCAAAAGCGATGAACAGGGGGTTTGTATCTTGAGGACAGAGAAGCCCAGATCTAGAGTGGCACATAGAAAGAAATCTAAGGAAGTAATTTATTATGGGAAGCCTTGAATTTGAAGAAAATCTGGGTCTGGAAACGATGAGTGTGGATGAATTGGGGTTTCTAAGTGCTGTGTAAGTTGGCTGGGTGTGGTGAGGCTGTGATTTTACTGCTGGTTGACCTCTAAAGGGAGTGAAGGTGTGTGACTGTATCTCTTTTGGACAGGGCAGTTCCTTCTGCTTCTGCCCTTTGTAATACACTGTAGCTCACGGCAATGAAAACCCTTGCATGGGACTATAAAACTCTTCAGTATCACACGGATGACCTCATGGGTGTGTGTAACCACTGTGTGACTAATGGTGTCTCAGATGCTCAGGTATGACCTGTCCCTCTAACGGTGGCACAAGAGGATAAAGACAGAGCTATCTTCAAGCTGCTTCTCACGCAGGCAAAGGTCAGTACTTGGGACTTTCCCCCTCTGTAAATGATGTCAAAACCCATAGTCTCTAGGACATGTGCTGCTGCCAACATCAGCTCTGCTCCTCTTCTGTTCCCTAAAAGCTTGTGGCCCCCAGAATTCACCACGCGGTGTGTGTGAGGGGTTCTGGCCATGACATGTAATGAGGCACTATGGTGGATGTGTGTGTTGTGTATTTAATGATCTGAACTAATCAGCTGTTTCCTAGTTTCTGGTTTCTGTGCTTATCAGTTCCGTCTGCAAGACGTGTCCTGGCACACAAGTGTTGCTGTTGGCGCTTTGGTGTGATGACAGAAAATAATCTTACCAAGGAATGGGAGGCCCTTTGCAGGGTAGATCTGTTTGTTGTAAATGCCTTGATTTGTTGCTATTGCCAACACAATGCTCTTGGTAACCTTAGTAATGGAAAGGGAAGAACTGATGACTTGTTTTATGTTCTTTTCAGATCTTTATGTTGTAGTAGCTGAGAAAGCCCAAGATCTTTCCATGTTTGGAGTTAGTGATACGAAGCTCTCCAGAAATAGCTCTTTGCAAACAGTAGGGATTTTCCTTCTCACTATAAAGCAGAGAAGTCTGTTGTGAGCCCATGTGTACCCTGTTGTGTCTATCAGAACACTTCCACTGAGATCTCACCATGGCCAGCCTGCTTATTAGTAGCCTTGTGTGCTACAGAAATAGAGCAGGAATCCCTTAGTTTGTTCTGTTTGACATGTTCTTCTAGCTTTAGCAATCTCTTTGTTAATGATTTGAGGCCAAGTTACTAAACAGCTGAACTCCAACTTCCAATTATTTATTAACTTAAAATTATTTGAATATCAATCATGCAAAGAGCCTGAAATGTAAACAGCCCTTAAAGACTCAAGGATCATCACATTCCCTGCCTGTTCCAAGCAAATCATCATCATGCTTTCACTTAAGGGGTGAAATAGCATAACCAAGTTGTGACTTGTTCTTAGAGTTCCAGGGCATATAAACCATGTTTATTATGAAAGATGAAAAACCAATGTTCCTTGTGCATTGATTATTTACTATGAAAGGAACAGAAGTATTCTTTTTCTTGGAGTTTACAGTAAACTAATTTCTGTGATGTGGCCCTAAAAATCTTTTTTTTTTTTTAATGTGATAACTATTCCTAGACTGAGCAGTCTCTTGCTGGCACTGACCAGAGAACTGTGTATGACTGAAATGAGATCAGAGCTAGGCCATTGGTGGGAGAAGTTCAACTCTGAGAGTGAAAACTAGAAACACACCTGAGCCACGCTCACCAAGCCAGTGTGAAAACCAACTCACCTGGGTTACCTGGGAAGGAGAACTATGCTCCTTTATTACAGCTGGGGTTTTTACTGCTTTATTATATTAATTTCTTACTGAGACATCTTTGCATAAGTCTAAATAATTCAAGCCTTGTTTTTTTCAAAACTTGCTTGTAAACTTAAAAAAAGCTATAGCTAAAAACTTAAATTAATCTTGAGAAAAAACAGACAAAGCCTGAAAAGTGGGGAGTCAGGATGGATCTTGAGTTACACTGAAGGGTTAACATCACCTTGTCCCGTTGTAAGCCAATAATGTGGTCTGCAGTTCTAAAAATACTGGGATGCTTCTGGTAGGGAGCAGCTCAGGAGGGCATGCGTGTCAGATTAGACATCTTGGTTCAGAGCCTGGAAGGTGCCAGCCTGTGCCCGCTCTCTGCTCGAGCCCTCTCATTAAGTGGTTGTGACAGGAAAAATCAAACCTCTGGTTTCATGTGTATGGGTTTGTGTTAAAGAGATGGAGAAGAGACAGTGCAGCTCCAGGGGTTGAGTTTGGCCTGAAGCTCCAAGCCCACCACAGTATGGAGCTTCTCTGCTGTTCTGAACTGAGCAAAAATCTCGTTTGTTGACTCCTTCCTGTGTTTTGAAAGACTTCTCAATGCTATATACACCAATGAAATCTCCATTGAAATATTTTTCAGGTGCAGAGCTAGGAACTGCCGCATAATCTGTAATCCCAAATACCCAGTATATTGTGTTGTTTGTACAGCAATGAGTCCAGCTCCTGAGAGGAGAACACCAGAGGATAATGATGTGCTCAGGAATCAAATATCTATGGGTCTGTCCTGCTTCTCCCTGACATAAAATTATATAAAGCAGAAATAACTTGATATAAATAACAGTACAGTAAGAAGGGTATGAAGGCAAATTCAGGCTCAGTATTTTTCGTGCTCTTCTCTCTGTGGCCCAATAACTTCCAGTGTTAGGCTTGATCCTGTGAATAGATTGCTTGCTGTAAGTGGATGGGCAAACAGTAGGAACTTGGAAGGTACAAGTAGTTCAGATATATATATTTTTTTACATCTTAAACATCTGCTCATGCAATTAGCTACTGAGCAATTTAGCTAAGCAGTGATGCGTTCTCTCTTACAGCCACAACTCTCGCCCAAGGAATAATATTCATGAGGCTGTTAGACAGTAAAGCAAGAAATTGAATATACAGCTGTATGTGATGAAAAGAATGAGTTGTGTTGTCAGAATTTTGTCATGATGTTATAAATCCATATATTTGTATTTTGTATTTAGGCATCATCTGATGGTATGTCTTGGTTATTCCGCTGAACATCTGGAGAAGGAAAGATGTCCTAATCCCATGGATTAGAAAACAGACAAGAGGTTAAAGCCTTAACAGTGCTCTCAGCACAGGATGTTTCAGGGCGCGTCCTGTCAGCAAATAATTACCAAGAGTCAGCAGGTTGCCTCTCGTTATGAAGTTAGTGATTAAAGTGTTAACCGGAGCCTCCCCGTAGGTGTAACCGTGACTAAGGGAGGGCTGCTGTCAGCCGCTGGCTCCCAGGAAGGAAAGTGGGTAGGTAAATATTCCCGACATGCACTGAGCTGCGGGGAGTGTCCTGGCTTTCCAGCACTCCCAGTTGAAGCAAAACAGTAATTACCAGTCCTGTGGGCTCCATGAAGTGGCAGGAGTAGCTGTCAGCCGGGCGCAACGCTGTCATGCCTTGTCCAGGGCTGGGGGAAAGGGACGTGGAACTCCTCCTCTGCCTCTCCGTCTCCGCTCGGATGCCCAGGTGAGTGGGATGGGAAGCTGGAGCTGCTCCTCTGCTTGCCCTGTAACCTGCCCTGTCAGTGGGAAGGAAGGTCTTTCCCGGTCACACACAGCTCCAGCCAAATTCCTTTCGGGTAATTAGGGTGCCGGAGGGAAGGAGAAATATTCAGTCAAAAATTCTCATCGAAGAAGTTGCTAAATCTGGAGGTGGCTTTGCCTGAGTGGGCTGTGATTACCAGGGACAGATAATAGTGCTGCTGCTCGCTGTGTCCATGGGCATAACCCTCCACTGCCCTTCATCCAGCGCCGGCGTGATTTAATAGGTTGTGTCGGTGACCTTGTCTGTGCTTTTTGGCGGGTAAAAGCCGTCTTTCCTAAGCCACCTGAAACAGAAAGTAACTTTTATCTGTAATAATGGATTACTTAGAGCTTGCAATACATTTGGTGCAAGCCCTACTCTGCCGTCGTTGTTTGTGCGAAGGGAGGGAGCTTGTGTATCTTCCTTTGTGACTCACGAAGTTAAGGGGCTGTATTCACTGATAAATGCCAACTTTCTTTTGGTTTTGGTAAATCCAAGCCCATTCTGGACCTGCCTGAGCAGAGGGGTTGCACTGTGTTTTGTATTCAAGTAGTGCTGTTCTTGCTCTGAACTGTAGCAGTCAGTTTTAAAAATAAATTGTGAGGTATCGTGCAAGACAAAGAAAAAAGCCCCCTTGTTTTCAGTGGGGAAAATGCAAGTGTTTGCAGTGAGTACTTTCTTCCGATTAGCTGTTTGCTTTGGTGGTAGGACATCTAACTTAAAAAACACAAATAAGATACCCAAAGAGAAACCCAACACGAAAGCTCATATAACTGCAGTGTGTGACTAGGTAAAGACTAGTAAAATTACTCTGCTGATCCTCAATTTCTTGTGAATGTGAATAAATCCTAAACTCATTTTTATAGTTGGAGATAATGGCCCAAAATTTTGCTAAACGCCAGACACTCCTGAGTTTAGCAAGTGCCTCAGGTACATGTACTATTGTGCTGTAGCTCCTTGTGCTGTATGAACTATTAGATGTGTGAGTTGTCGATAGGTAAGTTAATAGATGGCTGAGCCTTGTGGTTTCTGTAAGAGAAACAGAGAAGCTTCACCCCATCCTGAGTCGCTGTGTTATATATAAATAGCCAATATATAGAAGCTTCACCCCATCCTGAGTCGCTGTGTTTTCGGAACAGCTTTGGGAAGCACTGTGTCAAAACACCTGGAAACCTCTGGGGAGGTTTGGGGTTTTAGTTCTCACTCTTGGTAGGAGCTGTGCACAGCACACTGCTCACTCCCTGGTCCCCATCTTAATAGTATAAATAGCCTTTATGTAATACATATATATAATATATATAAATAGCCAATATATATAGCCAAAAAGCACGTCCAGGCTGTTATATAGAAATTGAAATGCTGCTTGGCTGCCCCTGCTTGGCTCAGCTCTGGATGCTGAGCATCCCTCTCCTCCCAGCCCTGCTCTGCAGTGGCTGTCTTTCATCCTGGTGTGAAAAGCTGCCTGGCTGTTTGCTCTCACCTTTGCTTTGTCATTGCTCCTCTGTCCTCTCCCCGCGCTGTCCCATTAAGCAAGTAACTTAAAAATCACTCTACTTAATAAAATGGAGTTCTCTCATCTGCCTCTCCACTAACACTTGGACTTTTCATTGTACAAAACAAAGCGGGGAAAAAAAACCACCAACAAACCCCCCCCACCAAAACAGCCCCAAAACACACCAAACATTTCAGGTAAGATATAAATCTTAGAGAAAAGTAATGTTCACTGCCTCTGTGAGATTTGCCTTGTGCCCTGATATGGCCATTGGTCTCTCACAGCTTTGGGATTGTGCAGTGGTCTCTCTTCCCAGGCTGCCTCTGGAGTTGCTTATTTTGCGTCTGCCCCACTCCTGATTTATGCTGATCTTGTCCTTCTGTGTCTTTTCTTTCCTTCCAAGAGTACTTTAGGCTTCAGTCAGTCTTCCCCTGTGTTTCTTCTTGGTCAAGTCTTGGACCAGGAGGTTAGCCCAGCTAAGGTCCCACTTCCAAGGTCTTGCCCATCTGAGAGAAGGTTGTGGTTCCAGTCCTGTTTGATGTCATGCTGAAGAGCCTGCCTGAAGCCAAGCCAGTCAGGAGAGGGCTTTGGAGAGGTGGGCACAGCCATGTGCTGCTGGACGAGCTGGGAAATTAGCACATGTTAGTTCAAACCAAAGGGAACAATAGAAAAACCACACTTCTCTTGGCTTCCTTAAAAGAGCTACAAGGAAGTGGCACGGAGAGCGATAAAGTGCTGGCAGGTGGTAGGAAGTGTGACAGCTCTGTGGGTTTATGGAGCGCCAGTGTAAACACAGGGTCACTTGGGGTGTCACATAATTGTTCTGGGGAAGTCACTGCCGGGTCCCAACCCACAGGTTTGGGGGTTTGCTGGAAATCAGGTCTGTAAGAGGTATGTAGTTGAGATGCGCCTGTGGGAAGGATACGGAGGGGTGGTTTTCCCTGGGGAGAGCTGGGGGTGGGAATGTGTTGTACCAGCCTGATAAGCAGGACTGGCCACCGCTGAGGAAAATTGTAACCAGTGGTTTTCTTGTGCTTCTGCCCCAGCGACGGGAGAACAGGCCAGTCTTTGTCCCGGCTATCGGGGCAGCGAGGGAGAGAAACGGGGGAGGCGCAGGTGAAGAGTTGTTCCCATCACCAACTGCCCTCCCAGTTTGCTTCCTTGGCAGCACTTTAATGATTTGAGATACACTCAAGGACTTTTAAGGCAAATAATTTGGTAAGAGCCATTGACTGTGTAACACAACGGGTCGCCCAGCGATAATCTTCTCTTTTTGCGTAAAGATCGTGGCTCCAAACCTGTAGAGATCAGCTGTTTCTCTCGCGTGAATTGTTTTAAGGTCATATTCTATTGGAAAGAACACATCCCTGAGCAGCGAAGCGGGGCTGGATCTTGCTGGAGTGGCTGCTCTCCGTTCAGCAGCGGTGACTTGGCGCCCTGCGCTCCTCGACGTGTTGTTTCCTGACAGATGGGAGGAAGCGCAACTGTACATCCAGTTGTTCGGGTGCCAACGTACATAAACTCCTCTGCGTCTTCTAAAATTGTTTTGCAATACCATTGGCATAGGCAGAGTCAGTCGGAGGTATTAGTAAATCACATAAAAGCAGATTTCAAGGTGTGGCCAATGGTTACTGCGCTCAGAGGCAAAGAAACACCACTATTGCACGGGCGTACAGCGATCTCCTCCTTCCATACAAACTCATGTCCACACAGAAGTCCCTCATTTGGTTTTTGGGGATGTTTTTGCCTCGATGGATGTCACCCAAAGGACAAGGGGCATTGGGATCCCTCCTGCCGTTTGCAGCGAGCACTGTTAGAAACCCCAGCTGCCCACCTACAGCTTGTTGTGGTGCTGCACTCTGCTTCCAGAGGCTGTGAAATAAGTTCCTCTGTGCTTTGCAGGTTGAAGAGGGTGTATTTTTATGTAAAACTTGTCATTTGTCCACGTATATTTTTTTAGAAGTCATTTGTCTATGACTATGGAAACTTTATGTAACTTCTGCTAAAAAAGGAATCTCAGTAGAGAGGGACCGTTAGTGTAGAGCTAAGCACTTGCTCTTTAGCTAGCTGCAGTCTTTTCAAGCCTGAATGTCTTTCCTAAATTGATTTTCTGGAGGCTGCTTGTTGTTAGTACTGTGGGCAATAAACTGCTTTTCAGATATCGTTCAGTAGGCTCTGTCCTGTGCAGTCTGAAACCAGAGTCGAGTCAATCTCCTGGGGTAAGGGAGGATGGGCATCAAGTCCATGTTAGGCAAATTCTTCAGTCATCGTGCCCAAGTAAGCGAAGTAAAAGTGGAATAATCAACTTTTTGGAGATTTTACTGCTTTCCATGGGATTCATTTTTGCCCACCCATCGGTGTGATGCCGCTTGGGCTGAGATTGACAACAGACTCTGCGCTGGAAAAACAATCTCAAGTCTCTGCACTTACTTTCCTCAGTCTGCCTTTTCCTCTAGTACCTGAGGGGGAATGGAAGCAGCCAAGACTCCATAATTAAGCTGATTGAAGAACGCATTGTCGGAGTCTCATGGGTCTGGCTTGTTGCCTGCATAACGTGCTGGAATCGCTACATGGTGATCTGTAAATTATATTGCTACATCACTTTAATTATAGCCTTCTTCTCTCTTTAATATCTCGGCTGCAGGACTCTGCCCGTGATCAACACTTCTCCTTCTCTTGTCTAGCTTTATGAACCTGGTTTAGGGTGGTTTGCTGAGTCACTTGGTTTTTGGTGACCCTGGGCAATGCTCTATCCATAATTAACAAATGAATCCTAACCAGTAAATGGGTTGCAGTTGCAGTCTACTAAAAGTCAAGCATAATCATGGAGTTGAGTTGTAGAGTAGTCCTAAAACTGCTTGGAAAGTCCTGGTATATGTAGTACTTAGGATTTAAGGTACTGGGAGATAATTGCTGGGAATGGCTGACGGGTTTTTTAGTAGGAGTGGGAAATATTTGGGTATTGAGTAGTACAAACTACTCAAAATATGGTAGAGTTAGCCCTTAGCTTGAGTGTCTGAGCCTGTTTCACCTGGCAAACTGAAGCTGTGTTGTGTTTGCTATTTAGTCATTCTTAGGGGAATTAGTGTGGATATAATTATTTTTTTAACCTTTTGTTTAGATTGATCTCTTCGGAATAAATGAAGAAAGTGACTATGAAAGCACAGCATCTGCCTTCTGTTTCTGTTTCCATCAACGAGGAGAAGTTCATAACCAGGTAAATTATTAAAATCTATATATATTTTAATTACTTTTTTCCAAGTTAGTCCATATTTATTCATTACCAGGGGATCTTGTGGAGAGCTGTGCCTGTAGCAGCAGCAGTTCCTACAACTTGCTTTCTGCCAAATGTGCCCAGAACAAAGTTGCCGTTTGTGTGGATTTCAAAGAGCAGAGCGTTAAACCCTTTGGTCTGTGGATTAGTTCATTAGGTAGAGCAGCACTTTTAGAGGATATTGAAATAAAACTCCAAATTAGGGAAGAAGAGCTTCCTGTCTTTGAAATCTGTTGGAATTGAACACGGGTTCCAGTGCTTAACCCGAGCTCCCCTGGCTGAGGTGTGGGCTCTGGTCTGTGGTCCCAGACCACAGGTTTCTTTGCAGAGACCCATCAGGCTGCCAGCCCTGCTCTGTGGCCAGTGGAAGTGGTTCTCTAACCTACTTGTAAAAAACCTTGGAATTGCACTCAAACTGTATTTCTTGGGATGCTTTTCCGTGGTCAGACCTGGCTGGTAGGAGTTTTTCCTAGTGCTCCTGTAAACCCTGAGCCTCCAGGCGTCGAGCTCCATCCCCTTTTTAGGGGACTGATTTTTCCCTTGTTGACTGGAGCACGGGAGCTGGAAGAGGGGGCTCTTTTCTCACTTCATTTCCATCCCTCTTGCTGTTCCTGTGGGAAGGAGCTCACTGTAAATGAGTGATGGGGCCCGTGGTAGAATCTCTCATGCTGCCGTAGGTGTTTGCATCTGAATCCCAATACTTTCACGTGTTCTGTGAACAGAGCTGGTGATCTCTCCCTTTTTAAGGAAGGGTGTCAGAGCTTTGCCCAAAGCACACGGGCAATAAAAGCACCCCTCCCCTGAAGAGTTGTTCCCTTTATACTGCCACTGATTTCGGACATAGTGCTTCTGTGTGAATTTTCATATCCCTGGCACACAACAGCGTTTGGAAATGTTTCAGGTGAACCAACCTCTCTGGGTTTTTATTCCTCTATGGATTGGCCTCTTCAAGTGGTGAAATGGAGATCCTGGTTGAGACCCTTCTGTGTCGGAGTCACAGTTTAAAGTACTGTTCCACACCAACCTCTCTGGGTTTTTATTCCTCTATGTATTGGCCTTTTCAAGTGGTGAAATGGGGATCCTGGTTGAGACCCTTCTGTGTCAAGAGTCACGGTTTAAAGTACTGTTCCAGTTTTTTGCCTTGCAAAAAACCCCGAATAAGTGTTTTTAGGATCCCTAACACATTCCGCATGCGCTGGAGCTTGCTTCCAATGCAATTTCCAGACTATCGTCCTGCATCTACACCTTGGATCTGCTGTTGCATTACTCCTCTTCCAGCTGTGTCATGCAGATCCTGCTGACGAGGCGAGCTGCTGCCGGGTAATTGCACAATGGCTGGATCAAAAGGCTGACCCAAGTGTGTGGGATTATTTGGCTGGGTGAATATTGCATCTTTAAGCATAACTGCTGTGGATGAACGTGTAGGGCTGGGGAGAGGAGAGAGGACACAGGTGAATTGTCCTGGGTCAGTGTTTCAAGAGAACACTCTCTGGGCTTTGTTGTGGTTTACCATGGGGCCGCTTGGCCTCGCAGCTCCTGGTATCCTGCCTTTGTTAATGAGGAAAGTGGTGAATCTGCAGTAAATGCTGCCTTTTTGGGGTTTGTCTCTAAGTTGTTCTACCAGTTCCTTGGCTTTGGCATCCACAAAGGGCTGCTTTTGGCTGTTGTCACAAAGCTGGGCTGTGAGGAACAGTCTCCCAGCACAACAGAGCCACTCACTGTTTTTCTGGCAATGTAGTTGAAGAGGTGACCGTCAGCCCCTGGTTGGGGCAGTCTTTGGGCCTTCCTAGTGGAGATGTGACATGAAACTGTTGGTGCATGTGTTTCTCCTTTCTGGGGCTAAAGGAAGAAAGATTTTTTTTTTTTCCTAATGTCTCTCCACTACATAAGGACAAATCAGGGAGAGCTGCTGTTAAATCTCTCCCTCGGGGCTTTTCTAATGGCTTGTGTGGTTCCTCACCGTTGGTTGGACTAATGCAAGACTAAAGCCCCAAACATTTATTTGTGCAAACTCCTGTGGAAGTTAATGGGAAGTTTTCCTGGACAAAGCAAAAAACTAAGTTAAAATCTTCACAGCTCACTCTGAGAAACGTAATCTGCCTCAGAGATCACCCTTCCCACATCACTTAGTGCTTTTAGCCTGTGATTTTTATTTGCCTTTGCAGCCAACGTGGACTGGGAGTAATAGATGAGCCTCGGAGTCTGACCCAAGTCTTTACATATTCCTAATCTCTTCAGGGAACTGATCTCCCCTACTTTCTACCTGGAAAAACCTTGTGAAATAACAGTGGTCAATAAAATGATTGCCAAAGGTATCGGGCTGCAAAATATCAAAGGACTTCTTTTTGAAGCCCCTCACAAGCAGGATCAGCAGGTCTGTTGCAAGGTCTGTCAAACCAAACACCGGTCTCCTCCTTGCACCTTAATCTCATACTGCATCTGCATTCAGCCAAAACGTGCTTAATCTTGTTTACCTTTAGCCAGCACCATCAAAATTTCATTTGTACGTGATTCATATCTAAGTCTATTAGGACTTTCCCTTTTAGTGGGATGACCTAAATATACAGTTCCTGATAGCTCGTGGGATGGCAAGGACCTGTAATGAGCTGTTCCAGTGCAGTGGAAGGAAAGGCTTTCCCTGCCTGTGTTACTAGGATTCAAGAGCAAAGCGAGTTGAAGCAAATGTTGAAAACGCTGCTTTGGACCCCAGTGCTTTGTTGGTAAAGCCACTTTAAGATATTTTGGTGGGGAGTTGCAGTAAGTTAACAAAGTAAATAATTTACATGCAGAGTTTTAGAAGGGAATGCCATTAACCTTGTGGAGTTTAGAGGGTGCAGCCCTTGTCCTGACATTACCTGCTGAGTAAATCTTTTCCCTTCTCACCACGGGAACAGGACGTGGCTGAGTTCTGAAGATTTCCACTTGCACACTCTGTGTACAGCATATAGAGATATATATATCTATACACACATGTTCCCTGCTCCCTTGGAGCAGCACTGACTTCTTTATTTAAGTTTACAGAGTTGGCTGTGCAGCCTTTTGAACAGTCACAGTCTGATCAGAGAGATGCTCTGAAATAATACTCACCTCACCCCTGAAGATGCCCTCCAGAGCTGCTCTGCAGTGAGTGACAAGCTGATCCCAATCTCAGGGAGAGATCACTCCTAGGCTTGTCATCTCTGATAAGGCTGCCACTGTCACCATTGATAGTGTCCTCGCATTCTGGGACGTGGCTGTCTTGTGACACAACTGTTAAAAGTTCTGCTGTGACTGTTCCTGGTGGTGTTTCCCATGCCCCAAGCTGCACTGTGAAGCTCCTCTCCCCAGGTGGTGTGTAATACTCTCTGTACGCTCTTGGTCCAGCTATTCCCACACCTCTGTCATTATTTCTGTCATCATCTTGGTGAACTCTGACTGTTGGAATAGTAAAATGTGATTCCTACTGGGCGTTATTCCTCTGTGTGACTTGTTTTTTCAGTGACGGTCCTAGAATTCAATTCCTGCATTTGGGGTAGGGTGTTATTTTTTGGTTTTGGGGTTTTTTTTCCTTAAATTGGTGTAGTTTTTACAGTACTTCTGATGGTACACTGGCCATGGATGGTTTCAGTGGGTCTCTGTGGAACTGACTGTGAGAAGAGTTTGCAAGTGCTGTGTGTGTTGCCTGGGGTTCGGCTGTTATAGCATCTATATGAGACACAAACATGGAAATAATAGACACTGTTTGGAAACAAACTTGGTGTCTTCACTCAGGGCTGCAAGACCATACATTAACCCGTCTTGACAGTCAGCTCAGTTGGTTTAAAGGTTGTCTGGGAGGAAGAGCTTGTGCGTTTCCATGCAATTGTTCCCCGTGCTTAATTACCTCTGCTGGGGGAAATGGCTTTCTTGAATGACAGTCTAAATAATCTTTGCTGTTTAATTGCTGTGCAGAGGAAGGTTTCGCTCCTGATGTTCCTGAAATACATTTCACTTAATTCTGTCTCTTTTTGGTCCTCTTTAGCCTGAGCTCCAACTTGCTTTTTGTCTCTGGGGTTCATGCCACATATCGCTGCCCATTCGCAGGGGATGTTGGTGGAGAGATGGCCTTGTCTCACCTGGGTGGCTTTAACCCTCCTGGGCTGCTGCAGGAGGGCTGCCTCGGCTGCTCAGGATGATGAGTGGCTCAACCTCTGCTGACATTTCCCAGGAGGTTTGGAAATCACATAGTTAAAATCCAGTAGCTGAAGTTCTTTCTTCCCAGACAAAGTTGCTGAAGGGAGAAGGTGGTGACTTTGGCCTTGAATTTGGTTATTTTTGAAATGCCATCAAATTTGAGATGTTCTCTGAAACCCTCTTCTCCTGCAGCATTGTGAGTTTAGCAAGGATGGAGACGGGTATAATTATGTCCAATGGTGGTTCTTAATAATTAAGTTTTAAACATCCTTAGCAGCAGTGTGCCCCACATAGCCTTCCTGCCTCAATGCAGCGAATTCAAAGCAGAATGTTATGCTGCTTTTTTTTTAACTGCATCATGAATTTCTGTTTGAGATCCAAGGTGAAGGGCAGGTTTACAGCCCCTGCTTGTTGGCAGGGGTTCTCTTCTTCTCCATCCTGTCTCCTCCGAGCAGAGACTTAGTGTGAAGCTTTTGTGTTTCCAGCAGAAAGAAACTTAAATGTTGTGTCTAGATGTACTATAGGTATTTTGATATAAGAAGAAATCTGAGAAAATCTAAGAACCCAGTGGATCCCATCATGCAGGGGAAGCAAAGTGTAACCTCACCAGAGCAATCTGCAGCGCTGTGCACGGGAGGGTTGTTCCTGTTTGCTTCCCCCTCCTGCCTGCAACACAAGTCCAAAGTACGAGTTATTCTGGGGCAGCGTTATTAACGTCACATCGGACCATGACTAATTAATTTCCTCTGTCTATCACGTCTTTGCAGAAGCAACTTAGAAGCAACCCGGTATCCTGGCAGAATTTTTCCTCCTGGAAAATGATGTATTAATCATTAGCAAACCTGCACACAGACACGGGCTGTCGCCCTGCCACTGAGCACCTGGGCTCTACAGCAATAGAGATGTTTAACAGTGATTCTTTTCCTTGTCATCTTTCATTCTAGAGAGCAGCTCAGTTCTCTTCTGAAGACTTACAACTCTTACTATTCTGATCAAGAAAATCTGCAGCTGTCGCATAATCAGGTAAGGATAGTGTGAAACTAACTCAAAAAGCACAGTGTGACAGTAGGAAAAGTGCTAATGGGTGATGATTAATGTGGCTGGAGTGAGCAGTGTGGGACGCCTGCTCCCTGTTGGTGTGTTAGGTGGAATATGTCACTGGAATACAAACCACAGCAAGTTCTGGAGTCAGATGCCATGAGGAGGAGAGATGGCTGCTCTCTGCTCAGGTGTGACCCTTCAGTGCAGAGAAAATGCTTGTAAGCCTGGCCCTGGGAACACATCCTCTTGGAGACCAGGATGAACCATGTCTCTCCTACCAGAGCCCCTGCTTTAGAGCTCTCAACTCGCTTCTCCACGAGCTGCCTTTCTGTTATTTCACTTGTACCAAGACCCAAGAGGACATCAGAACAGTTCTGGGCAGTGCTCTCTCCTCTGTCCCAGCCCACCCGGCAGTGACAGTTGTGTGTCAGCAGAACAGGGACTGATGCAGCTCCCTGTGCAAACACGGACCATTAACTGCTGCTTCCTCCTTCACCACCAGTTGTCCTTCCCTGTTAGCACTTCTTCGCGCCCTGGTTTCGGGAGAGCTGTTCATCCAAGTAGAATAAATAGGATTTGACTTGGAATTGTATGGAATTATGAGTCTGTTGCTTGGAAAACCTCCTGGTCAAAGTCAGGCTAATGCTGACACAAGAGCAGGTCAGGTGCAGCTTTGGCTACCTGTCCTGGAAATATCTTAAATGTGGGAATGACACAGCCTCTCTAGGTGACATGTTCCAGGGCTGTGTCAGCCTTGGTGATTTCAATGTATTCCTGCTGCTTTGAGGGGAAATTTATTATAATTACTCAATTACTATGCAGCATTCCTTATTCCTATTTTTCCCCTCCAGCGAGAAGGAAGCAAACCATTTATTGAAGGAATCTTGTCAATATTTTGGGGAGTCCGACACCCTATCCGACTGAAAATTCATGATGAGAAGCAGATACCCTCTTTCGTAACCCTGAAGTCCACAGAGAATGTGGGGTTGTTCCCTGGCAAAAGGTAATGTACTGACTTCTGTAAGGAGGAGGCAGCTGGTGTGTCGGGACAGTCTGGGTAGGTGGCTGTGGTGGCCATGGCTGCCTGGTGATCCCAGGCTCCCCGGAGGCTGTGGTGGTCCCTTGCCCAGTGGTGTGGTCTTTCAACAGCTTCTGCTGGGCAGAAAGATGAGTCGTGGTAGCATCTTTGTCTGGCTTTCAGCTGGAGAGCAGTTGAGAAGGTAGAGGAGGCTGTTCTTGTCTGTATGTATAGAAATGTATACATATCAAACATACAGCCCTCCTGTCTGTGTCTATTCACCTAATAATGGTGGTAGCCCCCGAAAGACCTTGTGTGGGTACACGTTCTCCATCGTGAAGCAAAAAGCTGGTAGGTCAGTGCTAAGTGATTGTCTGTGGTATGGTACCTTCCTGGGTACCCCAGATGAGACCCCATTGCTCTCCAGGCAGGGTTAGAGCCAGGGAATGAATTCTGGGTTTGTCCACACGAGATCTAATGTTAAAACCCCTTAGAAATAGGGAGAGATCAGCTGCTCCTTAGGGCTGCTGCCTGGGACATCTCCCATCAGTCCCTCGTGCCGCTCGGACTCCTGCGAGGTTGGCCACCTCTTTAAAGACTGATGTACATTATTGGGAGTATTTTTCTTCTTGCTGTTTTGAATTTGGAATTGTATCTGAGGAGCTGAGGCTGAGTGATGTGTAATACCAGGGGTGAATGTTCACCCTGAATGACCCCACACTAAATTCTGTATTTCAGAGCTCGTGTTCTTAATTATTCATTGTCTGTGGTACGCGTGTGAGTTGTTGATTTAATTCTACCACCACTGCAGCTGTGGAGCTCCAGTGAAGTCAGTCTTCCTCCCTGTCTCCTGCTGTTGAAATTAAGGGCTGGAACCTGACAGGACAACCCAGCAAAGAACTGGAGTCTGTGGCAATTCTTGTTCCCTCTCCCCCTCGACCAGGTCCTGGTCCAGGGTGCATGTGGCCGGCAGGGAGGGTCCGGTCTGGCAGCTAAAGTTGTGCTTTGCCTTTTGTTTCTTACAAAAACTTATGACTGGTGGAGATCTGAATCTTAAAGTAAATATTAATTCACGATCAGAGCGGCATGGAGCTGCCCCGACACGCTGTGAGGTATGTGGAGCAGCCTCCCTGCCTGAGCTTAAATGAACTCCTTAAATGCACGGAGCACAACCAGGGCATCGCTCGGCACGTTCACTGGAGTTGCTTGAATATTGGTTTGAATTCATATGGGGAAAAAATTCTTAATATTTTCCCACCAATTGGTTTATTCTCAGTCAGAGCAGTAACTGGCCAAAGGCTTTCTGCTAGAGAGTTTATGCAGTGAAACAGGGAAATATTGGCATAAGGAAAGTTGGGTTTTAAAAGAGGCTGGACTGAATCCCCTGCTCTCGTACAGAACTGGTTTGGGTGGCACGAGGGGATGCTGTGGGAATTTAATCCTTTGTGTCCTATCTTTGTAACAGACACGGTGTGTCCTGTGGCTGCTTCAACCACAGTGTGTGTGTGTTCTGCACGCCTGTGCCCCCGTGATTAATCCAGGGCATTGCTATCAAACAGATACAAAACCACTGCAAATTATTTAGGGGACATCACGGTGGATGTTCAACAGGCCCTAAATAGGATTGTGTTCCATTTGGGATCCCTAGTCACACCACATCTACTGATTTCATTATGACATAAACTGAAATTAGTGGCTTCACACACCACAGTGAAGTCTGTAGTCATGTCCTGGTGAGTCTCGAGCAGGGCTAGGAATGTGTTACATGGAGCCTGGCTTTAGGATTAACTGAAATCACTGAGCGAATGAGGAGTAATCGATGGTAAATATACATTTGGTGTTTCAGGGGAATGACGCGCTGGGGAGAGTTTGATGACCTATATCATATTAGTGGGGAGACACTGAAATCCACTGAAGAAAAGCCAGACCTTGAGAAAGGTTAGTGCCGGTGCTTTTCTGTTTCCTAAAAGTTCTTGGCTCTGAGACTGTGCAAAAGCAATTTAACGCGTTAGCCCTTCCCTGCCAGGAAAGGGAAATCTTTTTGTGTCTCCTGTATCACACGCTGCTGAAACGCTGATGCATCGCTGGTTGGGGAAAACACTGCTCTGCAGATGAATTTTTCAACCAGTTGTGCTTTCACCAAGGAATCCTTCCCAAGAAGCAAACAGAAGAGCAAATGGTGGCCACTGCAGACACCACAGCTCTTCACCGCACGCCTGTGCCCTCTCCTCTCCCACTCCTCCCATGCAAAAAATAGTTTAAAAATTATAAATATATATAAATCCCTGCACCAAGAATCTTCTCCCAATGGGGGTGCTGGCTGTGAGGGAAGAGCTGTGCCCCACACTGATGTGGTTCCCTTTTGTCCAGGTTATTCCTGTTATGAAAGCTGCACTCTGAAGCCCAAGAGCAATCAGGAATGTGACTGTGCCACCCTGCCTGGGGCCACCAGCCACGCTGCGGCCGTGCCAAAGAGGACCAGGCCACCCATGATAGCGAGGACAGAAGTGGAAACTCACAGGTTTTCAATTAATGGCCACTTCTACAACTATGAGGTACCAATGTCTGTGTTTCCTCACCTGAGGTTGGGTGCTGGGGCAGATGAAAATGTCCAGCGAGCTTCTGGCCTCCCCTGCACCCCCTTAGCCAAGGGGGGGGACTCCCTGCTGTCCCCTGCATGGCTGGGCTGGTGTCACCAGGACTTGGGCTCTGCCCTGCCCAGGGGTGCACTCCCGAGGACACCCTCTGCTTTATGGCACCCCTCTGAGCCCCGGCCACTGAGTGCAGCAGTCGTAGAATTGTAGATTTGGAAGGGACCTTAAAGATCATCGAGTTCCAGCGCCCTGCCCTGGGCAGGGACACCTCCCACTCATGCCCTTTTCCTGCCATTCTTGTTCCTAGACATCAGTTTTCACTCCAGCTTATGGATCAGAAACCAAAATAAGAATCAACAGCCAGATGAGAACGAGACAAGTGATAGAACAACTGCTGCGGAAGTTTAAGGTAACACCACGAGTTTGCAGAAGCAAGTGAAGGAGATACCTGGGAGGGGATGGTACATAGGATAGAGCATGAAAAAAAAAAAACGGGCAATTTTTAAGGAACAGGCTGGTTTTATTTTACAAGTGTCTCGGAGCTGTTTAGGTCTAGAAGAGGTGATGCTGCTGCTCTTCCAGCATTTCCCAGCCCAGGTAATGGATGTTGGGTGAAGGCACGTGGCCGGGCTTCCCTCTAGTGACAGGCACCGGGAACTGTATTTTCCTTAAAACACGGGAATTCCCTCTGAGTGAAAGGGGCTGGAACACGGGGTCTGTTGGGACACAGGGTCTGTTGGATCCAGGCACACAAGAAGCTCCACAAAGTCATGGTTAAAAGTAGTCCTTGAGATCAGTGCTTTATTGTCTGAAACCACTTTTTTTTTTCTTTCATGGAGTTTCTTTGGCACAGTCTGCATTAATGTGATTATACCCAGCCAGAAATCTATTTACTGTTGCTGCTGTGTTTCTCCAGTATCTTTATTCTACATCGCTGCTTCTACCACTTTTGATAAATCTCCGTTTAACTTGTCCAGAGACTCTATCGCAGAATTACTTCTGATGCTACTGACTCTGTCAGTCTGAGCAGACTTTTCTGTTTGTGTTGAACAGATCGAGAACAGCCCACAGGAATTTGCACTTTACATCATCCACGCCTCCGGAGGTGAGTGGGGACCCCTTCGTTTGGAGTGATGGGGTTCATTGTGGGTGTTCCTCCTCCTCGGACAGCGTGGGCTCAGTGTGGCTCTTCAGGAGACCCCTTAGAGATGTGTCATCTTCTGATCAAACATCTCATGATGTTTGAAAATTACAAAGTAGGCTTTGTTTCGGGGGCGCTGTGGTCAGGCTGATGGGTCTGGGATCAATGTCCCAAACACACCCTTGGCCACCGAAATTGCAACTTTTTTCTGTTGCAGCTACCAATTTCTTTCAAAAGGCACAGTGTAAGTGAGGTGCCACATCCTCCTTAGAGACTTGTTGAGGTATCTAATAGTTGCCCATCAGTCAAATACAGGATCTTTGTCCAGAAAAACAACTACTGATCACATGAGGTACCTGGAGGTGCTGTTGTGTGCTCTGTTGACCATATTTCTTTCCACTCCCAGAGAAGAAGCAGCTGAGGAGTGAAGACATTCCCTTGCTGCACAGGCTCTTGCAGGGGCCTTCTGAGAAGGTTGCCAGGTTCTTTCTGATGGACAGGGACGTGGAAGAGATCAGCAGTGACGTATGTGTATCACCAAATATCAGCAATTCAGTATTTTTCCCAGTTAATGTTCTCGCTGATGGACACTTGTCTTTTTGACAGGTTGCCCAGTATATCCAATTTCATCTTCCCTTTTTGGAGTCAATTCTGCACAGGATAAACAAAGAGGAGGAGCAGGAGATCCAGCAGACAGTTGCCAGGTAAATAGAAGTAAAATGAGTGGGTTGGCTGCTTCAGTGAGACTGAGTGGGATTTATAATCCTTCTGTATCCTGCACACCCAGAGGAGCTGTAGCTGTTGAAGAATGCAGAGCAAATACCGCCTACAAGCACACGGGGGGATCTTTCCAGAAAATTCAGACTCTCAGGGTCACTCCTGTTTGTTTTGTTTGTCTTCTGAGCCTCAGACTGGTCCCCCTCCTTGGGGGAGTATACATGTGGCACATACTGTGGTACTGCTTAGGGAGCAGCGCGTTTATTGGTGCCAAATTCTCAATGCCCCTTTAAAGCTTCACCTCTGATAGATGGTGCGAGATCTGAGAGTGGCTCAAAATGCTCAGACGGGTACAAGCTCAAAACTCACTGCTGTTTGTGAACATATTAGTGAGTCCTGAGACCAAAAGCCATGAGAGCCTGTGCCAGCTGCAGGTCTGTTACCAAATGACCATCTGATACCACTCTCAATGGATGTGGGCAGGAAATGTAAAGGAAAAAAACAGGTAGCAATTACCACTTTCTATCAGAAAAGCTTCTGTTAATACATTTGTGTCCATATTTTGGGCTCCCTACCACAAAAAAGACATCGAGGTGCTGGAGTGGGTCCAAAGAAGGGCAACAAAGATGGTGAGGGGTCTGGAGAACAAGTCTGATGAGGAGAGGCTGAGGGAACTGGGGTTATTCAGCCTGGAGAAGAGGAGGCTGAGGGGAGACCTTATTGCTCTCTCCAACTCCCTGAAAGGAGGGTGTAGAGAGGTGGGGGTCGGTCTCTTCTCCCAAGTCACAGGCGACAGGACGAGAGGAAATGGCCTCAAGTTGCGCCAGGGGAGGTTCAGGCTGGATATTAGGAAAAATTTTTTCACTGAAAGGGCTCTCAGCCATTGGAATGGGCTGCCCAGGGAGGAGGTTGAGGCCCCATCCCTGGAGGTGTTCAAAAGACAGGTTGCTGTAGTGCTGGGAGGTATGGTTTAGTGATGATGCTCCTTGTTTGTTGTGTGGGTGTCTGTTTTTGTCAGTTGGGTTGACGGTTGGACAAGATGATCTTTAAGGTCCCTTCCAACCTAGAAGATTCTGTGATTCTGTGATTTTCCAGCCATTCAACTACCACGGTAGAATTTGGTTCAATTTTTACTGGATTCTGTGTTACTCAAACGCATTCTCTCTCTCTCCACCTCAGGTACAGGAAGGAGAAGCAGTTGATACACCAGCACCTCCGCAGCCGAACGGTGAAGAAAACAGAGACCACAGTTTGAGAACAGGCTCCTGCGAGCACCCCCTGCGCCGCTGCCGACGGGGAGTCGGGATGTTTGCAGGACGTGCCGGGACTGGAGAGCAGGAGAAGCCCAGGGGGGGTTCACGTGCTGACGTTTCTCGTGATAATTACACACCCGAAACCCATCCCGCTGCTCTGCAGCCCTGGGATACGAGCTGGGAACCACCTCAGAAGAGGCACTGGATCCCCCAAAAGAGAGATGCTGGATCCGGCTTGAAACTTAAGATAGGGGAAAAAACCTGTGAAAAGCACAAGGCTTTAAAACCTACTAAAACTATTGCCAAAAGTCTGGCATATAAGAAAATTATTGCAATAACCGATGTGTTAATCATACAGAAAATATGAAAATTAAGTGTATGGTTTTCCTTCTATTAGAGAAATGTTGAATTACACTAGGAGGAAGCTTTTCAGTAGAGATAAGTGGCAAAAAGTATTTATGTATCTAAGATTGCAGTTAGGCTTTTCCCTTATCTTAAAAAAATACCTGTGCAAGAGAGACTCCAGGTCCCATTGACTCTGGAATGGTCGATGCCAAACTTGCTTCAGCTTTGAGCTACAGTTAGAAAAGTATCAAAGGGAACCCTCCCACCTAACAGCATCTCAGCTCTTAAACTGACGGGGGAGTTTCTCTCTGAAATACCTCCCAAACTGCAGAGTCAGAGCTCTCAGGAAATGCTGCTGCATCTTCTCGAGTTGGGTCCTGGGGGACCCCTCAGCGTGTTCTGCTGTTGGAGCAGATGACTGGGTGTTGTTTCCCGTGGTTCCTGTTTGTGGAGGGAAATGAGGAGTGTTCAGAGAGGGATGGGATGGGATGTCACAGCCCTGGCAGGGTCAGGCTGGCCCTTCCCACCCAGTGGCCCCAGCCCAGTGCCCAGTAGCCGTAGGGTCCTGTCTGCTTGAGTCCTGCGGAATATTGAAGCTCAAATGGTACTGATGTAAATAAAATCCAACTTGTGCACAACTAATTGCCCTCCTGTATTAGTCCTTACGTGGTACCTGTGTTCTGTCTCGGCTGCCTTTGCCTCACACAGGTCACAAGATCAACACTGGGGGAGGGAGGAGACCAATGTGTAGAAAACATTGCCTGAAATCACATGGAATAAATCAAATACGAAAAACTTTATGCTCCCTGAGATGATCTTATTGGGATGGTAACTTAAAAATGAAGGGTTGATGTGCTTAATTGGTGCTGATGTGGTTGGGGCAAAGGGTTTATTTTAATGTAGAGTCTGTTCTAATCCTGCCCAGGCAAACAATTATGGGTGAGGGAAGCACAGGGGAGAAAATCATTCATCTGGTCTGTGCTCATTAGGAAACAGCAAGAGCTCTGCCTGCTCCAAGGCACCTGTGCCACATCAAACCAGGAAAAAGTATTTGAGTTCTTATCCAGAACAGGCTGTTTCTGTTACGTGTTCCCTTTTGTAAAGGCTTGAGTAGCTGTGTGGAGGTGCAGTGTGGAAACACCGCAATAGGAAATAGAGTTGGTCTGTGACCGAAAGAGAAATCAAAGCACGGACCACGTGGAAAGGGAAGTCCTTCCAAGCAGGTTCCCTAATCCTCTGTATGGACACAATTCCTAAATTGAGCCATTTTTGCCACCACCTGATGTTAAATACTTGAAGCCTTTTTGTTTCACTTGTCCTGCTGAACTGGGACTAGAAGATGCTGGGTAATAACAATGGACTATAGCCCAGGTTACCAGAGTCTGCCGGGGTTCAGGGTGCTGAGATGGAGCTGTGGCTGCCGTGGTGTTGGTGCTTCATGAATCCTGTGCTCATTTACATGAGTTGTTTCAGAGAAATACAGACAAGAATAGCAGAAGAATTTATTCCAAATCATTACTGGATATTTGAGGTAACACAGCGATGAAGACCAGAGGTGACAGAGGAAAGGGAGAGTTGCTTTGGAATTTGGAGCCGTTAACTGTAAAGACAGCAATTACAGACCTTGCCTGTGTTTGCCAGGCTGCCCCCGAGAAAAATCCACAGTCATCACAGAATTTAAGAAATACAAAGCTGAGAACCCAAAGCACCCCCAAATTCCAGAAGCCTGATCTTCATCAGAACATCAAATCCTAAGGAAACCCTGTGCTGAGAGAGGCCCAGGCTGGTCACCCAGCCCTCGGCTTGCTGTTGGGGACACCGTGTGTTCCTGGGTGAAGCCTGTTGAGTGTGTGTGTGTGTGTCTCACACCTCCCCACCTTTCCCAGATGGACACTTGGTGTTTTGCTCCCTTCCTGGGCACTGACCAGCTGCTGTTTGCCCTGGGATGAGTCTGGTTTGGAATAAGGAGATTTCCGAGTCCTGGCACCCTTTCCCATTAACCCAGGCAGCCCCAGTCTGTTTCAGCTTTCCTTTTTGTGTTCTGTGGATCATTGACTGTTACTGTTTTTCTCTTTTTCAGTGAAACATGCTGTACCCAAGGCTTGTCCTAACTCTCCAGCAAAGTCCTTTCCAGAGGTGAGGGAAACTAAACCATGCTCTGAGTATTACACAGCTCGTTATCCTCTTGTATCTGCTGTTGTGCTTATACCCCTGATACACAAGCACCAAGTTACTCTAATTAGCAGCAAACCCTGGGTGACCCCCAGTCGGTGTGTGATTTGTTCTAACGGCATTTTTATTCCACACAGCTCCCTCCTGAGCAGTTTTCCCGCACCGAGATGTCACAGCTGCTCCATCCTACCCGTGTCCTGTGGTAAACTCATCCTCACAGAAAGCAGCTGGCTTTTCCCAGGCTATTCCTCTCATTTGCCAAGATGAATTGGACATTTGAAATGCTGCTGAGGGATTCCCAGCAGTGTGTCTGCCTTGCTGTCGGCCGCCGACCCCATGAATGGGTTTTCTCCTCATTATTTATGCCCTTAATGAAAGTATTGCCTGGTGGTGTGTGCAGGATGGATCCCGGTGGGACACCTCCTCAGTCTGACTCTGGAACCTTCTCCCTGCTGGTGGTGCTTTCAGCTGGGTTTGCGCTTCATGAGACGTTGGTTTGGGTGTGAAGGTATTTTCAAATACCTCTGGGCACCTGCTGGCAGGTACAGCCACCGAAAGGATGGGGGTCCTGGGGGTCTCCTCCTTTGAGCCAAGGGTTTCCAGAAAAAACATTTCTTTATTTCAGTACTGGGTTTGACGTGTGATTTTTAACATGCCTTTTAGTGTGAAAAGAAAGTAAAAAGCCAAAAACTGGTTTTGTGTCAAACAACCCAGAGAATGAATTTGCTGCCTCCCAGTGCTTTCTCTAAACCCCCATCTGCTGCCCAGGTGTGAGCGGCTCCTGCTCTGCCCTTTCCAGCCCATTTTCCTCATTTTTCTTCTTTCTCACCCTCTTCAGGATGCCCAAGATAATCTTTTTCTGTGCTTCAAGGTAACTTTACAACTCCCCTAGAGCAGCCCCTGTTAGTGAGTGTGTGTGTTGCCTTTCAAGGACAGTGCAATAAAAATGCAAAAATAATTATTTGGTGATCTAAAAATAATTTGTAAGTGGTTACAGGCAGATTTTCTTAATTTGATCTCATTTGCATTCATGGTTCGTAAGCCTAAGATTTAAAACACCTTTTTTTTTTTTTATTATCTGTGACTATTTGGTACAGGTAAAATAATATTCCATAACATAAGATGGTGGCAACATCTAAACCCTGAATTTTCATCCATTTGACTTATTCTTTCAGCGTATTTCTTTAAGGTGCTGCACCCCCTCTCTGGACTTAACCTGGCATTAAGTTAAATTGGTTTAAATTTTGTGTATCCTTGATAATTTTTAATCAAAGTGATAGGATCCAGAAATGAGGTGTTTGCCTGCGTGTCTCCACCCCGTCCGAATGAAAGGGAGGAACAGGTTTGATTCCCTGAGCCGAGCGCTGGGAGCAGGTTTGCAGTTCCCCAGCTCAGCAGATGGATCTGGTGTGGGAATTTGGTGTTTTATGGAGAAACCTCTTCTCCCTCGTTCGCAGGAGCAGACGGGATGGAGGCAGAACCGCAGCCGGTGCAAACCCTCAGGACTTCCTTAGATTGGTGAGGAAAGAGCCACAGGTTTGTTTTCTCCCCTGTGACAAATCACGTCTTTGTACTTGAGGAATGTTTTAGCCCAGATACCCTCGCTGGTGGATGTGTGTGTCTTCCAGCCAGCCAGTATCCTCCCACACCCTGGGCAAGCTCCTTACGCCGACAACAGTTTTTCACTTCTTTTTATAAGTTCTGGACCCTGAAAAAAAAAAAAAAAAA